AGAGAGAGAGAGAGAGAGAGAGAGAGAGAGAGAGAGAGAGCAATAATTGTTGTATTTGTTACGCACAAAGCTTATGCTGTGTTAAGAAGACGAATTCCATTGTGTACGTCGGCGCTGCTGGATCTGTTGAACTGCATTTACATTGTACATGTATTTAGTTTTGATTGGAATATCGAAAATTATTACGAGCTGGATTTATTGTCATGTTTTTGGATAAAACATTGTTCCTGGTGATATTTGCAGCAACGACTACATTGTGTGTTGAGTGTTTTGATTTTTTTAATAATTATGATAACTTTGGTCTTTGAAGACACATTCTTTTGCTCGCAATATCTAATGTTTTCTGTCTCTTTCCTTTCCCCCCTCTTTAACGTATCCCACCAGTTCCCATCCTACTCCACTCTGTGCCTATTCGGCGCATAGACGAATTTTTAGGCGTCTCGTTCTTTGACGGGCTGGAACCCAGGTCACCTGGGCACTGTTAAGCGTAATGCTGACCAAGAGAGCAGACTGCGCGCACCTGTGAGAAAAACCTGACTTACTGGAGTGTTGTTGTTATTATTATCATCTTCCTCGTCTCCATGGTCGTTGCAGTTGTTGTCATTACAGTTGTAGTTTTTGTTGTTCTTGTTGTTAGGTCAGGTTTCACCAGGAATAGACAATTTTGTTAAAATGAAGGTGTTTCTACACCCCCATCGACACAATTTAGATTACTTAGGAGGTGGGCGTCGACCATGAGTGTTAGGGCTAACCCGGTCTGATAGGTATACAGCAACCCAGCAAAAAGATGGGGGTGCTTGATAAAAATCTCCCCCACTCGGGAACTGAACTTGGGTTACCTGCGTACGACGGAGAAGCACATAACCATTACATCACAGACACCGACGGGAATAGATAAGGATAACTGCAGCCCCAAAAGAAAAAGAGGGGGCAGACCATAACAGAGTGACCACCAACCTTTTGCCGATGAGAAAGGAAACCCAGTGGTGTATACAGCTCACCATCAAGATACGGCTGAATGGGAATCGAAAGTGATTAAAGAACAAACAAACAAACAAGCAAACAGGCTTACAAGCAAACAAACAATCCCTCCCACCCACCCCTTCCGCCGAAATTTGATCCAGAAGTGGAGATAAAGCCTTTAAATACTTGAAATGTGGCAAACTCTTCAAAATTGGCCTTAATGGTGATAACAGAAACCACAAAAGTCTCAGTTCTTATTTCTTCTATGTCGTTCTATATAATTCTCCTTTGCCAATGCGTTGGTCATAGTGGGACATTAAAGGACGAATTATCATTATTGTCATGATTAGAAAAAACACACAATCCTGTCCCGACGAGAAACAGTTATATCGAACCTCCCTTTCCTTCGTCTCAATGGGCGAACGATGACGCAGTGTTAAACAAAAACCTACGAGCTTGGAGATTAAAACTTCTGAACAGATTAAGGTTTCAGGTGCGGAAGTGCAGACAGACAAAAATCGATAGTGCGTCTACATCGATCCGTGGGTACTGACTGCTAGAGGAGGATGAGATGCCGCGGAGATATTGGAGAGTCCGGGTGGCCGGCCGAGTGAGGAGGGAAGTCTTGTAGGGTTACGTAAACAGGCGATATTCTATCATGACTGTGGAGGGAACATCGGTGTCAGGCTGACGGGGAACGTGAAAGGGAGTGAAAGGGTTATCAGAGTGAGTGAGTTCGTGTTAGTTTGTGAGAGTGTGTGATGTGTGTGTGTGTGTGTGCGTGAGCGCGCGCGTGTGTGTGTGTGCATGGAGAGAGAGAGAGAGAGAGAGAGAGAGAGAGAGAGAGAGAGAGAGAGAGAGAGAGAGGG